TTTCTGTGAGCCGCCCTGAGTCCCCTCAGGGAAAAGGGCGGCCTACAAATGCTAATAAACCACTAAACCACTAAACCACTAATAAAGAATTCTATTCTACTCCATTATTTTTAAACCACCCATCTCTGAGTTGAAAAAAAGTGACTTATGACTAAGATGAAGCTGGAAGGACATGCAAATCAGGGGTGGGTTGCTGCCGGTGTTACTGCTGGTTCGCAACCTGCGTGCAACCCATGTACATGTGCGCAGTTCAGTGTAAATTGTTCTGCATGCTTGCACAGAATAATTAACAGTGAATTGCGCACATTGTGCAATCACTAAAATCCAAAATGGCGACGGCCAAGCGTCAGCAAGGGAACGAGTTCCAGGGCGTGGGAGGCCTGGGTTGTTGCTGGTTCTGCGACCCAAGTCTGAATTCCACTACTGGTTCTGCCAAACCGGGCCGAACTGGCAGCAATCCACCACTGACGCAAATGCTCTACAGGTGAAAATAAAGATTCATTCCTTTGAGTCTATCACTATGCTACAGAGTGTGAGCATCTAGTCTTTGCTTGGGGCCTACAGGCAAGATCTTTATCTGTCACCCACTTGTGTTTTATCAGCTAGTCAGCTTGTCCTCAAAGTACTTGCCAGGACATTAACTGGCAAACACAAGGCACTCAATTTGATATAAACCCCTTATATATAAATATATTTCTATGGTTTGTTTTGCTTTCCTGTGCTGGCTATTTGATCAGGTCTTACCAAATGCTAACTAAAAGCATGCAAAGATTTAGTATGCTTCTCCTCTGCTACACGTGACAGTTTCAGGTGCTCTTTTCCTCCAAAAGACTTAAAAACGGATGCAGCTGCCCCAATTAAAACTAATAATAATAATAAATTACCATTTGCTTTATGTTATGGCTAAAGTTATCTGATATTTGGAGGGTCTTTTCAATGGTTTTTTTTCACATTAGCACAGACTTCAGAAAAGGGAAAACTGTACTACTGTACAGAAAAATATTTCAGCTGAACCAGTCACATGAAATTACTCCATTTTGCAAAACAAATCAAAGGCAAGGAAAAAGATTTGCTCTGGTGATACAAACTGAGATGGTCTGGACAAACAGGCCAGGATAAGGATATTAGAGCCCCCAATAAGAGTGTTATCTAACCTTGATTCTGTTCTGGGTTGTGCCATTCTCACATAGAGATCATATATATTTTAAAGAATCTGCCTACATTTTGCACATCCTTTGTTAGGCAGCAAAATTCCCACTGCTCCTTCTCCACTAACAACTTAACAAACTTAACAAACCCTTAAGGATTCCAAAAGGACGTAAGTGTCATGAGTTTTTGCACAAATGACATTAGTATGCGCTTGAGTCATAAGGTAGGATGCAAACACCTAAAAGTCATGGCTTCTGCATGATGCTTATATCATCATTAACTCCCAAATCCTATCAATTACTTAGAACGCTTTCTATAGTCATCCCTCCATTGCTGTGCCA